CCCCTTGTAAACTTTTCGTTTGTGATCCTTCATGAATTTCAACCCTTTGATAATTGTCATGTCAATGGTATCAAGATATGAAAATTGTTTCACAATGGCTATTTGTGTTCTTTATAATAACTACCGTCTTCACTGTATAGTGGAGAACGTTGCTCTGAATGAGCTTGCATTGTGGCTACAGAGACTACTGCCTGTTACATAAAGTTTTCACTTCCAAGATTTTTTTGTTTAAATAATGTTTCTTGTGTCTTTTGGTATTTCATTATTTAAGCATCTTCTTATAGGAATATTTTTTCTCTTAAATGGCTGTGACATTTTACTCCAGCTATAAGTCCACCCTTGGTTGGCATTACATGGTCAAATGGTTTGCAATCTTCCAGGAAACAGATATACAGGTGTCAAATATATTGCCAGTAACACAAAAGCATACTTCTATGGTTTCACACCATTTCATTAGCACATTATAATTTTTTGGAAAGTGTGAACATACCTCTGTATAACCTACATTATTCCTTACCTAATTCTTAGTGTTATACCAACTTTCTTATTTATGGGTTTTACTCATTTGGATTTACTGCCCACTAAATTGCCTTATAACATATATCTCTTGTTAAACTTCTCAACAATAAATTGCTTTTTTATTGATTCACATATTCAAATACAACTTTTTTTTTAATTATTTTGTAAGGATATACAGCTTGTCTCAAGATGAGCAGTTTCTCTTCTTCTTTTGTATAAATATTACATCATATTCACATAGGGTTTGAGATAGTTTTATGCTTTATGCATAAAATTGTACGAAAAGCTATAAAGTCATGTATTATTAATAAAATTTAATGCATAATATGCAAGTCTCAAGGGTATTTTTATAGCAGTTGACCACTACATTTTAATGCATCTGTAACCACTAAGACATAGATCACTCCTAAAATTCAACTAAACACAACAGGTGAATAAAAAGTTTTTAGAAATGTATATTTTTTGTTTTTACTGAATAGCTTGACTAGTTACATAAATCCTTGAATTTTTGTGTTTTACCTTGAAATACTCTGGAATTTTATTCCAAAATGTAATTGGGAACTTTCATTTCTCTTGTAATAATTCAAAACTTTTATTAAATGAAGAGTCATAATGAGACATGGTAATTCCCCTACCAACAAGGACCTAGAAGATTAGTACAGACTAACTTACTAAACAAGTTAGCAGAACATTACTTGCTGTTTCCTGAGGAAACTTAATAAATTACCCTAATAAAATATTATTTATATTTTCGTTTCTGACCTGAGAAGATCTGTACAGATTGAGAAAGTTAGTAAACGCGATTTCACGTTCTTTACTGGGCCCAGCAGAAAAAACTTGTGTAAATTAAGTATCTTTAGCAGAAAATTGATGTTTACTTGTACTGAGACTTGAAAATAATTGTGTAAATAGTTATATTTGGCACAAAATTATCCCTATTTCATTGTTTTTTTTACTATATTTGAGAAAACTCATCACAAAACTATAACGTGAAGCCTTTGAAGGTTTCAAACATACACTTTTCTAATTGCGTGTATTATGCCAAAGGGCCCAAACTTTACACAAGGTTGATATGAGTTTGAGAATTTACCAGTTTTTAGCAAAGCCACTTTAGTCCTTAAATAAGTTAAAAAATGCGTAGCGATCTTACAACGCTTGTCTTTCAAAATTACTCATGAACCTGTGTTAAATTCCAGCAATGCTTGTTTTTTCTCAAAGGAGTTTATTAGCGTTTATTTTTCACGAAAACAAAACACACTTTAAAAATAAAAACCTTCCCGAAAAGGCTTCTTAACAGGGATCAGTACTTTTCATATTATATACAGCCGTCAATGAATGAAACATTCTGTAACCGTATATACATAATGAATGCAGTGAACTGTCTGACCGAATCCTCCTCAGATCACTAAAGTACATACGAATATTAGGGCAAAAAGCCGTTAGGAATTACAATTATCCAACACGAGTAATACTAATATAAAGAAACGAGAACAATTTTAATTACGATAGTACATCTAAATATGACTAACAAAATTGAAATTACTAAATGTTTCATTAGTATTAAATGTCTTCGTTGAACAAGTGTAGAACGTCTTCTTAATATAAGTGTTATTTCATGCCACCTATAGACAACGCTCACAATTAATTCTCTCGCCGTTCACATTAAGTATACTACTAATCATAAATTTAATAGTTTAATGACATAATTTCTTTCTTTTACATACGTATCGCTCCAAAGTATTTAGAGCTTCAAAAATTCTAATTTTTTGTATACAACAACTTGTACTCGAATTTTGTTAAATCTTTACTTATAAAATCTCATTTTTGATCAAAACATTTGGTGTGTTCAAAATAAATAAACATTTATTTAAAACTTGTAAAAAGGTTCCTAGCTTTTCTTCAACAATATTGATAACTGATATATAAAAAAAGAGTATTTTTATATTGATGCTAAGTTTCTTTTTGAAATAATTCAAGAAAGTGGACGTTTAATACTATTTCAATTTAATTCATCGTTTGGAAGAGTCTACGATTACTCAGGGTAGGTAAAGTTATATACGGTGAACACGAAACACACAATTTAAGCTGTAATTTCTGATATAATATTTTGATATTGATTATAAATTTAACGTTTGAGATAATCTTATCAACAAAAATTAAATATTCACAGTTGTCTCATATGTAATTTTACTCTTTTGTGTTTTAAAAAATGGTATCGTTATATTTATCCGCAACTTTTTTATCTCGTAAGTCAAGCCTTGAAATTTTTCTTATCATTTTTTATCGTTTATTAAATAAACTAAGTTATAAAAATGGGTCTAATGCCCAAACATAAATACATATTTGCGTTACTGATACGTCTTCGCGAACGATTACAAGCACCTGTTATAATTACTATAAAGTACTCGAGTTAGCCAACTTCAACACATAACATACGCAATTTATGAGGCATTATTGTACTTTTTTCTTTCTTTTTGGGCAAAGCTAAACAATGTACTACCTGCGTTCTATCCACTGCGACCAGTGGAACCCAGGATTCTAGTATATTAGGCAGTAAATATACAATAACAAAACTACATAATAAGCTCTCTGTGCTCTGCTCAAATTAGGTATTGAAACCCGATTTTGGGGCGCTCAGACTTATCGCTGAGCCAACAGGGGGAAGATAAATAAGAAATGGCTATACATGTTTATAATTTTAAATTTATGTCGCGTGGATGTTAATGCAATTTCACACATTGTTTAGGATAGGTCATCAACAGCAATGTATTTCGCTAACAAAGTAGATAATAGCTTGAGGATACGCAGCCTTTGTAGAATGTAAGCGAAAAACCAGACACTTTGCTTTGCATATAAATATAGATTGGATTACAGTTTGCAACATGCGTGCAATCTATTTCTTAGCTTGAAACCCAGTCACTCTGTTACTTTCATATTTATAATCATCCTACACGAATCTCATGTTATAAAGTAGACCTATCAGTTAACCCTAGAATACCACATTGTTAAGTCAGCCCTCAGCAAGTAAACTACCGTTTTATATATATACACCTGGAAAAAAGTTAAGCACCCCCGTGTTTTTTTCAAGTGATTCAGATTCGACGTTCTTGTGACTGATTATAAATTACCATTCAATATAAACGTGTTTATCAAATGAAATTATGCATTATTGGGCACAAGAAAACAAGATTATCACCGTAAAATAACAATTTTTAATTTATATATCATGACATTAAAATATGGACAGTTTTCACGCTTAAAATTATCTTT